CCGATCTGCCACATGAGAGGAAAAAATCGGATTTGGGTCACTTGAACCATGCAGTGTAAACGAGACCTGAAAGATCTAATTGATGAATCTTATTGATGATGGGTACTATATTTTATTTAAGTCAGCAGATGTTCCCAGAAAATTAACACAACATGATAAATGGTTGTGTTTTCTTTATAATGTTTTTTTTTTTTAATGGAAAAAACGCTAATCGAGAAACTGCATTGAATTTATAATCTGGGTTTATACACCTATACATATGCATTATCAACAAGGTGTATATTGAATTCTTACTAGTACTTAGTAGAAACATAGTAAAAATAACTGGCAGGCAGTGGAGAAAAGCCTTGTTTTAACGGCCAGTCACGTTAAATCTATGAATTAATTGTTTATAACGTCCATCGAATATTCATACAGACCACTGAATAACAGTTGTGGTCATACTGGACTGCATCTAATATTAATTCATACTGATTAATATTAATTTACTAACAAACAATATTAAGTACTTTACATGTATGACAAAAAATGGACCTTTCAGCAACACAATTGAAATAAGGCAGCAAACTTTAGCCGAGCAGGAGTGTGGCTGGTTCGTGAGAGTGTTAGGTAATCTTGTTTGCACAACAGCAAATTTAATTGCAATGACAATTTATTTAATATCCAAAGGAGGTATTTTTGCATTCCCTTTGACACTGTGAGTGCGAGCGAGGTATGAGACTGCTTTGTTGATTGTAATTGGATGGTTTGCGGGAGTGCAGAACAAAAAAGCCACGTGAAACTGTTCATCATGGGTTATGATGATTATAATGGGAGCATTCAAGACATTAGCAGTGTGAGTCCCATTCTGCACACTCAAAGACTCGCCATATTCATAGTTTGCACCTTAAAGCAGTAGAACCTGTTTTTTTCTTCTGAAACTGAATATGTGGGTGATACCCTAGCTCACTAAAATATGTTTTGCTGACATTTTTTGCCATTCAATTTTTTCTGAAAGAAGGTTTTTCTTGGTTTATGAGAACGTTTGAGGAACATTCCATTCTATCATTTTGATAATATTATGAAAACATGATTTCAGAATCGTTTCTGTTGTATTTGGACTTTTAGTTTCTTTACCTTCACGTTTTCTTTGTTGTAGTTTCCCGCCACTCTTTAGTCACTATGGTTTCTGTAATACGGTATGTTATTCGGGGAAGGAAGCGGGAACCGATGAACGTCCATCTGAACGTCTCAACAGAAATCGAGACTCATCAGACCAGGCGACATTTTTCCAGTCTTCAACTGTCCAGTTTTGGTGAGCTCTTGCAAATTGTGGCCTCTTTTTCCTATTTGTAGTGGAGATGAGTGGTACCCGGTGGGGTCTTCTGCTGTTGTAGCCCATCCGCCTCAAGGTTGTGTGTGTTGTGTCTTCTTCACAAATGCTTTGCTGCATACCTCGGTTGTAACGAGTGGTTATTTCAGTCAAAGTTGCTCTTCTATCAGCTTGAATCAGTCGGCCCATTCTCCTCTGACCTCTCGCATCAACAAGGCGCTTTCGCCCACAGGACTGCCATCACATACTGGATGTTTTTCCCTTTTCACACCATTCTTTGTAAACCCTAGAAATGGTTGTGTGTGAAAATCCCAGTAACTGAGCAGATTGTGAAATACTCAGGCCATGCCACGCTCAAAATTGCTTAAATCCCCTTTCTTTCCCATTCTGACATTCAGTTTGGAGTTCAGGAGATTGTCTTGACCAGGACCACACCCCTAAATGCATTGAAGACACTGCCATGTGATTGGTTGATTAGATAATTGCATTAATGAGAAATTGAACAGGTGTTCCTAATAATCCTTTAGGTGAGTGTATATATATATATATATAGAACATGCTTTTTTAGCGGTCATGAAGTAATGACTTCATTCGCTGATTTGAGACGCCGCCACGACTAACTAACTAAACCAGGCCCCGCCCCGGGAATTATTTAAATGAGGATTACTGTGTACTTTGTGCTTCGTAACATCATTTTCATGCTCAAACAGCAACATTACTAAAAAGGCTGAAAATGTAATAAAAATATAATAGGTTTTTCTTTAATGCATAATGCTGAAAATACATTAGGATTTTTGTCAAACATATTCTGCCAAATTTAACAGAAACATGTTCAGTGCATAATTTAACTTAGCCAAGTCACAAAATATACAATATTTAATTTATACCAAATATCAGATTGTCCCTCAGCTCATGAGATTAAAGAACCAGATATGTTGTATAATCTTCCATATACATCTGCTATTGTGTTTGTTTGTTTACTTTAGTGTTTGTGTGCTCATGTCTGTTTCTAGGTTGGTGTTCAGTCTGTTAATTGGTTCTCTGTGGTTAATTGAGTGTTGGTTCTGTTCAGGTGTGTCTTGTTAATTAGCTCCTCAGTTGTTGTCTATTTAAGCCTAGAGTTTCGTTCAGGGGTTTGTCAGTTCTATGTAACGTTAAGTTTGCTGTTCTGTTCCTGAAATGCCTGAGTTTGAGGTTTTTTTTTTTTTTTTTTTTTTTATAAAGTTACTGCACTTCGACCCTGTTTCATCTCTGCTGCAACCCGACCGTGACTGTCTCTAATCTAGATTGTGGAAATAATGTTATTCATGTGTTCAAGGGCTCATATTAATGCTTCAGGGATTTTTTAATCTCATTCCAAAGCTCTTAATACAGGAATATCAATGAAAAGAGAAGATATGGATGATGAAATGGCCAAACAGGGACAAAAAAAAAAAAGAAAAGTGCCATAACTGTGTTGTTGTGAACATGGCTTGGGCTGGGATTGTTGTGCAGGATCACAGGACGGATATAACTTGCATGTTGAGGTCACACTTTGGCTTTTTTAGAGCTCTTGTTTTTGGAAATATTTTCCCCCTTCGTTTTCACAATAGGAAATATTCTCCAGTAAAAGAGTTTTACACCATAAACCAAACCAAACAGCTATGAGACTAATAAAACACGAATACACACCTTAAAGGAGTAGTTCACTTTTAAAACAAACTTTTGCTGATAATTTACTCGCCCCCATGTCATCCAAGATGTCTTTCTTTCTTCAGTCGAAAAGAAATGAAGGTTTTTGATGAAAACATTCCAGGATTTTCTCCATATAATGGACTTCAATGGGAACCAAACAGTTAAAAGTCCAAAAGACAGTTTCAGTGCAAACTGTTCAAATGGCTTTAAACGATTCCAGACGATGAATAAGGGTCTTATCTTATCTTATCAAATAACAAAGTTTTAGTTTAATAAGCACAAATGCTCGCCTTCTGTGACGCGCGTTCGTGACTCTCCTGTTCGAACTCGTTCATCAAAATGAACATCTTTTTTCGAGTCATGACTAAGATAAGACCCTTATTCATCGTCTGGAATCGTTTAAAGCCCTTTAAACAGTTTGCACTGAAACTGTCTTTTGGACCTTGAACTGTTTGGTTCCCATTGAAGTCCATTATATGGAGAAAATCCTGGAATGTTTTCATCAAAAACCTTCATTTCTTTTCGACTGAAGAAAGAAAGACGTGGACATCTTGGATGACATGGGGTTGAGTAAATTATCAGCAAAAGTTTTTTTTTTTACTACTCCTTTAATTATAATCCCAAGAAGATGTTGATGTCATAAATAAAAACACAACAAAGAACACAAATAACATCATTTAACAGTGAACTTGAAAATCTCAAGAACAAGGCAGCCGCAATCTAGTGATCATTTCATCTTCAAAAAGGCTTGTGTCTTGTGAGCACAATTATAATGCAAAGCCAGCCAATCAGATTAGAGCTTGCCAGATCGAAAAACATCTTTGCAGTTTGTGCACATGAGACGGTCAGTGATTGGATTTACGGAGATTAATTGATGGTCAGCTTTAAGGCTTGTGAGCCTCTTGCTAAAGCAATCTGTCCTAACTAATGAAAGGGACCCCCTATTGGCAATGTGTGTGTGTATATATATATTTATAACTTTTTTTCACCTGCATCATTATTAATTGGCCTGTAATCCTTTTCAAATAAACCTCTAAACACCACATAAAAATGCAACAAAATGGTTTGTCAGTTTATATTAGTCAAATTAGTTAAGCAGACCAATATGAATTTCTTGAATAATCCGACATTATTCAACAAATTCATGCATTGTTTTAGTATTCATGAGTTCGAATGAATTGTGAAGGATTAAGAGACAACAAATGTCCATGCACGGGAAATCCTTCACAATAAAAAAAATCATAAGCATAGTTTTAATAACAACGCAATATTAATAATAAGGAATAAGTAGGTGCATGTGCTTTAAATCAGATAATTATGACATCTGCTAGTCATCATAAACATGCCAAGAGAGCAAGCGCTAATTGTCTGATTTTATATTGCGAGCAGGAAAGGGCCGTCCCTAACGCCTACTGTTAAACACTGAATGGACCCTCTGTTGTTTCTGCATTCCAATGAATACACACCAGCTTGAAAGCAATCACACATTACCATCCTCAAACCGCTTCATGTCGACGGCAGAGCTAAAGTCAGCAGAAGGTAAATTGTTTCCTCTAAAGTTAATCTGCTCAGCCATTGTTTTGGATCAGGATGCAAATGTGCTACGCAAGCATTTTTGACTCATTTTAAAGTTTGTCAGAAATATGTCAAACGTTCTTAAGTCATCATTTTCTGGGATGGGAAACAAGTATGTTGTCGCTATTAGCAAGACAGACACGTATTTCATCCACAGGAGCTGCTAAATGATCAAGCGAAATCCAGAAAAGGCATGATTGCAAGAGGAGGTGGTATACATGTCTGTGGCATGATTTGATAATCACAGCTCTTGATTTGTGTTTCAGAATGAAGATAGCAGCTTTTTTTAATGTTTTTGTAGCACTGAATGCTCCAATCATGAAACATTTCTGCTCATCTGGACACAGCGCTGGTTTTGTTTCTATCATTAGTTGGTGCAGACAGACGCTGTTTCCCTGCGTGCTCTGAAATGACTTTAATAATATGTCTGTTTTTACAGGTCACCACTGTATTTGCAACCAAGCTCAAGTCTTTCACCTTTGTGCCACTTCTGAAAAGACTGCCCGTGGAGAACAGGATCTGGAAAAAGGTTCTTCAGGCTGGCAGAGCAAACCAGGTGATTCGGCTCAGTATGGGTCCTGTTCAAATTAAGACCATACTGTGTCAAAAGCAAAACATGACACCACACGGAAGGGGTTAATTAAAGGAGTAGTTCACTTTAAAAAAAAAATCTTTTGCTGATAATTTACTCGCCCCCATGTCACTCAAGATGTCCATGTCTTTCTTTCCTCAGTCGAAAAGAAATGAAGGTTTTTGATGAAAACATTCCAGGATTTTTCTCCATATAATGGACTTCAATGGGAACCAAACGGTTCAAGGTCCAAAAGACAGTTTCAGTGAAAACTGTTCAAAGGGCTTTAAACGATTCCAGACGATGAATAAGGGTCTTATCAAGCGAAACGATCGCTCATTTAATAAATAAATAACAAAGTTTGAGTTTTATAAGCTCAAATGGTCGCCTTGTGACTATTCGCGACTCTCCGGTTCGAACTCGTTCATCAAAATGAACGAATCTTTTCCGAGTCAACTCATTCATTTCGTTCGCTGAATCAGCCAAATGACACAAAAAAAAGATTTGTTCATTTTGATGAACGAGTTCGAACAGGAGAGTCACGAACGCGCGTCACAGAACAGAGCAAGGCGAGCATTTGAGCTTATAAAACTTAAACTTTGTTATTTATTTATTAAATGGTTGAACGTTTCGCTTGATAAGACCCTTATTCATCGCCTGAAATCGTTTAAAGCCCTTTGAACAGTTTGCACTGAAACTGTCTTTTGGACCTTGAACCGTTTGGTTCCCATTGAAGTCCATTATATGGAGAAAATCCTGGAATGTTTTCACCAAAAACCTTCATTTCTTTTCGACTGAAGAAAGAAAGACACGGACATCTTGGATGACATGGGGGCGAGTAAATTATCAGAAAAAGTTTTTTTTTAAAAGTGAACTACTCCTTTAATAACTTTGTGTAGTTCCAAATCCATATGCTGATATGTTTTTTCCATCGAACATGAATGTTTTAAAGAATTTTAAATAATGTATACAATGATAGTCCATGGTGAACATGGGTTCAACCACTTAAACACCCCCCTTTTTGAGGAAAAGTTAGTTTAAAAAGTTTAAAAAGTAATGGAAGTTTAAATACTGTAAATCAAATGTACTGTACTAAATATGTATTATTTTATACAATATTATATATAAGTTGTGTTTCAAATTTAAAGTCGATATCATAAAAATTAGAGATGTTTAGACCCTGTACTAAAAATAGCTACCGGGTGTCACACACAATGCACTGATTTTTGTTGTTGTTGCATTCTCCTGTAACAAATTAACCCATTTCTGTCCAAACATCACTTCCATCACACAATATGGAGCCTTGAGACTATATGTGTTTTGTCAAGATTAGAAAGTTTTGACAATAAAGTAATTCAAACACATTTTGTAATATAAAAAATGACACCGCCCATTAGGGGAGGAGCCAACTGAAAGAAATTAGAGTACCGTTTCCATGGTATCACATTTAGATTAAAGATTCACATTCTTTTTTGCGTTGCAGTATTGCGTGCTTTGATCTTAATAACATCGTGTGTGTGTTTGGAACAGTCATAGTTCAGTGAACTGTTCCTTTAATTAGCAAATACTGATAGAGGGAGACTTCAGTGATTCCCCTCGGAGAAGATGACCTATGTGTGTGTAAAAGGGAAACTGCAGAAGGCATTTGCTGAAGGTCTTACACAACCAGGGTGGGTCATGCGTTCTTGCACGTGAGCAATACATGAGGGACATGGACTTCTGGTAAAAAGATGTCCGAGCTGGAACGGGAAACACACGCACACATAAATGCATTCACTGACTCTCTCATATCGTCAAGATGCTCAGAAGCTAGAAATAGCCATCTGTAACTTCGGGACAGCTGCCACTTCAGATTTGGTGTCTCTTAGTAACATTTCCGTTTCCAATGTCAGACTTCCCGAGAGCCAGGGGACTTTGAGAAGAGCATGGCGGAGGAGGGTGTCTACAAGGCTGAGGTTATTTACATCCAAGAGAACAACACTAAAAGTGAGGTTAGTATTGTGGTAACACTGCATTAAAGGTAACACTTTACAATAAGGTTCATTAGTTAACATTAGTATGAACAAGACTTTAGTTAAAATCAATTATTAAAATCAAAGGTTGTGGTTGTTAACATTAGTGAACTAACATGAACAAAACAACTTTTTGTCTTTTTTTGTTTCTTTCCTCGTTAGTTCAGGTTACATTAACTAATGAACCTTATTGTAAAGTGTTACCAAATTTTGTTCTGTAACTTGCCAAATGCCACAATTATATATAATGAATACGCCGATTGACCAGAAAACAAGCTATCGAAGCCATGACTTCCCAAGTCGTAGTTTAGAGATGAAGGACTGTTTGTAAAGTACATGTTCAAGTTGTTTTGGGATGGATGCTTAATATCTTTTAGCCGGCTCTAATGGGAGACATCATGATAATGAGTATACTGATAACACACGGCTGCTTTCTGTGTTGCAGATCCCAGTTAATTAAACACACACATTAGCGTGCTTACAACCTAGATAAAGTTCTGACCGAGAAATTGATGCATAGGAGCATTTATTGTGTCTAATTGGTCTGTGCCACTAGTGTTTATCACAAACATGTTTCCAAGACTTCTCTCGCCAATGGCATACCCAGTTAGGGTCACTCAAACATGTAGACCATGTAGAGAATTACAAACTTGGGTAACACTTTAGAATACGGTTCCTTCGTTAATGAATAACTACACAAGAACTAATGAGTAACACAATATTAACAATCTAGTAACTATTATTAACTAACAAGAAACTCTGAATAACGAACTAGTAAGTAATAGCGCACAGACGAAAGTGGTAGTTCACTATTAAGTAATCAATAACTACTTTTTGTTTTAATACTTCCCAGAGAACAACTGAAAAGTTTATTAACAATCTAGTAACTACTAGAAATTCTTATTAACGAATTAGTAAGTAATAGCTCAGATGAAAGTGTTACTAGATACTTCTGTGGGAATTACTACAAACCCAATTCCATAAAAGTTGGGACACTGTACAAATTGTGAATAAAAACAGAATGCAATGATGTGGAAGTTTCAAATTTCAATATTATATTTAGAATCCAACATAGATGACATATCAAATGTTTAAACTGAGAAAATGCATAATTTTAAGGGAAAAATAAGTTGATTTTAAATGTCATGGCATCAACACATCTCAAAAAAGTTGGGACAAGGCCATTTTTACCACTGTGTGGCATCCCCTCTTCTTTTAATAACAGTCTGCAAACGTCTGGGGACTGAGGAGACAAGTTGCTGAAGTTTAGGAATAGGAATGTTGTCCCATTCTTGTCTAATAAAGGCTTCTAGCTGCTCAACTGTCTTAGGTCTTCTTTGTTGCATCTTCCTCTTTATGATGCGCCAAATGTTTTCTATGGGTGAAAGATCTGGACTGCAGGCTGGCCATTTCAGTACCCGGATCCTTCTTCTACGCAGCCATGATGTTGTAATTGATGCAGTATGTGGTTTGGCATTGTCTTGTTGGAAAATACAAGGTCTTCCCTGAAAGAGACGATGTCTGGATGGGAGCATATGTTGTTCTAGAACTTGGATATACCTTTCAGCATTGATGGTGCCTTTCCAGATGTGTAAGCTGCCCATGCCACACGCACTCATGCAACCCCATACCATCAGAGATGCAGGCTTCTGAACTGAGCGCTGATAACAACTTGGGTTGTCCTTGTCCTCTTTAGTCCGGATGACATGGCGTCCCAGTTTTCCAAAAAGAACTTCAAATTTTGATTCGTCTGACCACAGAACAGTTTTCCACTTTGCTAGAGTCCACTTTAAATGAGCCTTGGCCTAGGGAAAACGCCTGCGCTTCTGGTTCCCGTTTAGATATGGCTTCTTTTTTGACCTATAGAGTTTTAGCCGGCAACGGTGAATGGCACGGTGGATTGTGTTCACTGATAATGTTTTCTGGAAGTATTCTTGAGCCCATGTTGTGATTTCCATTACAGTAGCATTCCTGTGTGTGATGCAGTGCCGTCTAAGGGCCCGAAGATCACGGGCATCCAGTATGGTTTTCCGGCCTTGAACCTTATGCACAGAGATTGTTCCAGATTCTCTGAATCTTTGGATGATATTATCCACTGTAGATGATGATAACTTCAAACTCTTTGCAATTTTTCTCTGAGAAACTCCTTTCTGATATTGCTCTGCTATTTTTTGCCTCAGCATTGGGGGAATTGGTGATCCTCTGCCCATCTTGACTTCTGAGAGACACTGCCACTCTGAGAGGCTCTTTTTATACCCAATCATGTTGCCAATTGACCTAATAAGTTGCAAATTGGTCCTACAGCTGTTCCTTATATGTACATTTAACTTTTCTGGCCTCTTATTGCTACCTGTCCCAACTTTTTTGGAATTTGTAGCTCTCATGAAATCCAAAAGGAGCCAATATTTGGCATGGCAATTCAAAATGTCTCACTTTCAACATTTGATATGTCATCTATGTTGGATTCTAAATATAATATTGAAATTTGAAACTTCCACATCATTGCATTCTGTTTTTATTCACAATTTGTACAGTGTCCCAACTTTTATGGAATTGGGTTTGTAATTATTTGGATCCGTATTATAAAGTTAAGATCATTGGAACTAACTAGTAATTACTCAAGTGTTACTACATGATCTAGTCATGATTTGTGCAAACGTTTGAGATTTTTGGTGAACTTTAGTAACTTTTAGAAAATGTCTTTGAGTAATTACTAGTTAGTTCCAACGATCTTCACTTTATAATACGGATCCAAATAATTAGTAATTCCCACAGAAGTATCTAGTAACACTTTCATCTGTGAGCTATTACTTACTAATTCGTTAATAAGAGTTTCTAGTAGTTACTAGATTGTTAATAAGCTTTTTCAGTAGTTCTCTGGGAAGTATTAAAAAAATAGTAGTTATTGATTACTTAATAGTGAACTACCACTTTCGTCTGTGCGCTATTACTTACTAGTTCGTTAATCAGAGTTTCTTGTTAGTTAATAATAGTTACTAGATTGTTAATATTGTGTTACTCATTAGTTCTTGTGTAGTTATTCATTAACGAAGGAACCGTATTCTAAAGTGTTACCCAAACTTGATATTTGAGATCGGATTGAACAAGTGAGAAATTTGTCTGATGCATTAGAGATTTGAATGTCCACACAGACCTCTAATAATGAGTTACACTGTAATTAGCAATCAGGCCTGTTAATAAACAAACAATTTGCTGAAATCAATGGTTAATCACCATGAGTTTTGTAATTTGCTTTCTTTCTCAGATTCAGTCAACTGACACTTTAACCCTTAACCCCCCCTCCACCCTAGTTGGTTCTCCCGCAGAATTGGGTAGCATAACCCCTGCCATGGAAACCAGCGTCAACAAACACCATCTAGGATTTCACAACAGTGCCGAGGTCAGCTCAGGTCTGTGTTTAAATAGCTCGTCCCGGAGAGACGAGGTCCTTAGCCCTGCCGGCTCCCTGGATTTCCTCACATCCTCCAAGGAGTCGATTCTCTCCGAGGGCTGGGACAAGGACAGGAGCTGGTTCTCACGACACGGTTCTCCGGGTCCTTTTAGCGGCACGGTTTCCCCGTGTTCCTCCGTGAGATCGGGGACTTTCACCCCCTCCGTGGTGAGAATCAAGCGGCTTTCTTTGGCTCCGGGCTCCAGTTTGCTGGAGATGTCGTCTGTTTGCGGGACACCCTGTGACAGTCGGACGACCTCGCCCTGTCCTCTTTCGCCCCGCGCCCGGCACCGAACTCCCCCGACACAACTCTCCCTGCTCACGGCGATCCTCAGGAAAGGCCGTCTACCCGTCCTGTCCTCTTCTTCGCAAAGACCGTACACTCCCTGCTGGCCCATCAGTCCCGTTAACATGTCGTCCTGTTTAGCGTGCTCGGCCGCCTCGTCTGTCGCACCCATGAACGTGTCCAAAGCCAAGTCTTGTACCTCCATAGACACAAAGTCTTTCCAGATTTCAAAGCCACAGATTTGGAAACGAGAGCTGGTTGAGGCACCTGACGAATCCCCACTCATCAAACCCCCAGAAAGACCTACAAATCACATCTCTTCGCCAAGCTTACCGGCAGTCCAGTCCAATGCTCACCTGTCTAAATCAAGTCCCAAGGGGATTCGTTTGCCGACTGTTCCTAGCGCTCTTTTGTGTGGCTCCGACTCCGGCATGAGATCTCCCACACCAAGATATCTGTCAAGTTCCCGCAACGAGAACCATAAAAACCCACCAGTGTCAGCAGAATGTCTTGTATCTATAGATCCAAATAAGTCAGGCGAATCATTAACACATAACGATGACACGAAACCCCATGGTAAGCCAGAAAAATATTCATTCCCACTGAAATCTGAGCTCTCCAATGAACCACATGTGAAACACATAGGACGTTCATCTGACCATTTCGACTCCTTGGTACCAAAGTATACTCTGAGTTCATGTACATCTCCTGCTCTGTCACACATCAATTCCATATCTCCAGTTTTAAGCCACAAAGAGAATACTGCTTGCATAAATGATGTGGAAAGAGTGCAGCCATCATCCCCGGCTTTTAGGCTGTCTCCCATGGGTCTCGCCCGCCGGCCCTACACACCTCCAGTCTCTCCGGCTTGTCCCCCCGTCCACCCAAGCTCCCGGTCCTCCACCCCAGATCGCTGCACCCGTCAGCTTTCCCCCTCTCCCTCATACTCTTTCTGTTCATCCCCCTCTCCATCCCAATGGGGAAGCACACCAGACTGCGCAGATGGGGACTGTAAAAACAGAAAGGTACAGTGCATGCTCTTTCGCTACCACTGAGAAGTGGTTTGCAATGCATCACACTCATGCAAAAGCACTAAATCTGTAGCCAAGGGCACCCTTGGTTTGATCAATACATGCATGGTGTACCACAGTAGAGATGCTTGCACGGCTATCTCTGGGGAGTACGGTTTTAAGCTTTTTCCACACAACACGAATGCAGACTGAGATGTTCTGAACTGATGGTGACGTTTATGTTGATATGCAATCAAATGCATGGGGATATTGGCTTTTTTATATGTATTCATGCCAGAGATGGGAACTCGAGTTTGAGGCTCGGACTCGAGTCGCATTTTGAGTCACACAAACAGCTGACTTCAGACTTGACTCGTGACTCGACCCAAAAGACTTGTCAGCGACCTGTTTTCATGCAATTATTGCTTTTCAAATCTAAATTCATTTTAATGTATTTCTATTTTCTTTTATTGGCGCAAACGTTGGGGGAAGCGTATGATAAGCTGCATGTCCCCCGCCATTTGTCATACTGTGCATGAGACAGAGCGTATTTAGGCCACGCCCACAGAGGGGGAAAACAATCCAAACGTCTCCATTGACTTTGTACGGAGAGCGTATTGCATTCACTTGAAGAAAAAAAATCTACTCTGTTTTTCTGAATTAACGAGTTTATTTTTCATGAGAAAAAAAAATTTGCTCTGTTTTTCTGAATTAATGAGTTAATTTTTCATGAGAACATTTTTTTGCTCTGTTTTTCTGAATTAACGAGTTAATTTTTCATGAGAAAAAAGTTTTTGCTCTGTTTTTCTGAATTAACGAGTTAATTTTTCATGAGAAAATTTTTTTTGCTCTGTTTTTCTGAATTAATGAGTTAATTTTTCATGAGAAAATTTTTTTTGCTCTGTTTTTCTGAATTAACGAGTTAATTTTTCATGAGAAAAACGTTTTTGCTCTGTTTTTCTGAATTAACGAGTTAATTTTTCATGAGAAAAAAATTTCTCTGTTTTTCTGAATTAATGAGTTAATTTTTCATGAGAAATTTTTTTTTGCTCTGTTTTTCTGAATTAACGAGTTAATTTTTCATGAGAAAAAAATTTCTCTGTTTTTCTGAATTAATGAGTTAATTTTTCATGAGAATTTTTTTTTGCTCTGTTTTTCTGAATTAACGAGTTAATTTTTCATGAGAAAAAAAATTTCTCTGTTTTTCTGAATTAATGAGTTAATTTTTCATGAGAATTTTTTTTTGCTGTTTTTCTGAATTAATGAGTTAATTTTTCGTGAGAAAAAAAGTTTTTGCAATGTTTTTCTGAATTAACGAGTTAATTCAGAAAAACAGAGCAAAAAAAATAAAATTCCATGAAAAAATTAACTGAGCAAATTAACTCATTAATTCAGAAAAACAGAGCAAAATATTTTTTTTTCTCATGAAATATTAACTTATTAATTCAAAAAAACAGAGCAAAAAAGATTTCCATTAAAAATTAACTCGTTAATTCAGAAAAACAGAGCAAAATATTTTTTTTCTCATGAAAAATTAACTCATTAATTCAGAAAAACAGAGCAAAAAAAAATTCCATGAAAAATTAACTCGTTCATTCAGAAAAACAGAGAAAAAACTTTTTTTCTCATGAAAAATTAACTCGTTAATTCTGAAAAACAGAGCAAATTTTTTTTCTTCAAGTGAATGCAATACGCCTCCGTAACTTTGCGTCTAGATATCTCATAATTTCAACAAAAGTTGGCATTGTAAATCACCCCGCTGCTCCGCGATCTGCACCGTCATCACAGACAAGAAAGCGCTCTCTCTCTCTCTCCAGTTCAATGTTGTCGGATCCAAATATGATAATTTCCTTTTAATCAGCAACCAATCGCGAAAGTAAATAGGGGGATTTAACTCTAAATGAGCAATCTCATTGGCCTGATGCACATCTTTAGATCCCGTTTTGCGTTTTCTCAAAATGACTTTTCTCTCAAACTCCATGTCTGAAATCTCCACTATATACCAAACCTAATACACCAAACTGTCCAGTCTTGTACCTAGTTTTATTATGAAGACTTTTACAGATGGATTTGTAAATATATTATTCCTAGCTTGATTTATATAACATTGTTTTTCTAAAAACGTGGCGAAAATCTATTTAAGGCTATCTGATAACAGGATAATAAAAGTAGATATCCATAAATATCTATTTCCCCCCCATCTATTACTGTATGTGAACACAATGAAAAAAAAAAAATTTAAACCTGGCTTTATCTAATAGGCTACTCAGATTTCGTTTTTTTTCGCACGTATTTAATTGGACAATGGCTATTAATTTAAGACTTGAGACTTGACTTGGACTTCCAAAAAATCACTTGTGGTCATCTCTGATTCATGCATGCATTCCCTCCAATAAGGAGAAAGCGCCACATGGCTTTTTATCTTTGATAACATTTTCCATGCAAATGCAACAATATTGTGCCAGGACTGTTTTGTGATAGGGAATTACTCATATAGCGCCTAGCCTTATTGCATAGCACGGGGACTGTAGATTATGTTATTTAAGTCTTCTTTTATGACTTCTCAACCATTCTTTCCTAAAGACACACAGGATCAAATCCACCTACAAGGCGCTCGCTGCGATTCCTACAAATACTCTGCTCCTGGAACAGCAGGTGAGCTGCTTCATCGAATTACTCTAAATTACAGCTATTATTGAGTGTACAGTTAATAAACGGATCTCATTCAGTGTCATTTTAAGCCATTAACTCAGTGTTATTTTTGGATTCAATGCAGTTGTATTCTATTGTCGTTAAAGAGGCTGAATTTGAAGTTCGTTGATGGACAGCAGAATGGTTTTTTATATAAGCAGTCAAAGGGACCCTTACCAGAACAAGCAGAATGAGTCATCCACATTGTGTACCTCATGAGAGGTTAAACTGTACCGAACAGGGGTCAGAGAATAGAGGGATGATCAATATAAGACGCGAGCAGACTCACATCTTTGGGATTGAGTTGCTTCTAAAACCTCCTTCCATCCACTTGCTTGCTAAGGTCAAGAATATATTGCCTCATTAAAGGATTAAAGCTTCATCTGCATTTCTTCATTTTTCCCTGCTGAAGGCTATCGATGAAGATGTCAACAAGAAAGAGGCGTCGCTCAACCCTGCAGACAACTATTCTTGGGAGGACCCACATGAAGAGGTAGAGATGGACAGTATACCACGTGGTGGCTGGTGGAACCTGGAGATATTTTGCTATATAACTCTATAGTTCAGTTGGCAGGACTGCTTTCACTGTAAAAAATGATTTTTTGGTTAAGTAAATACTAGTGAAAAAACCCAATGTAATTTACTTGAAAAAGTTAGTTCAGGCAAGAATTTAAAAAACTAAGTAAATTCCATATCAGTACTTATTTCAAGCGAGTATAAATGAAAGTGCGAATATCAACTCAATAAAATTAAGTAAAAATTACTCAACTTTTCTGATACTGGGGTTCCCATCATGCACTGGACCTTGAATAATTAATGAGGTTCATTTTTCACTGGTTTCCAGCTGTATTTACACTGTTTTATCATTGATTTTTGTTTTCAGTAGTAGTAAATTGCCATTTTGTGTCATTTCGAGTAAATTTTTTGCTTAAAATGACACATTCAAACACAAAAACGATCCATCAAATGTTACCGCCATTGTGTATTGTCTACCAAGTATTGAGTTGTTTGCATTCACATAAGGCTTAAAGTCTGACATGATGTATATATAAATTACTTAGATGATCTAAGTAAAGAACGTACTATAAATGACTAATAAAATTCAAGATAATTGTTTTAGTGAAGTGTAATACAAATGCAAAGGAAATCGGTATTAATCAATCTTTTATAAGCCGAGTTAAAATTACTTATTTTTTTGTAAAGTTTACTTAATTCCACATTCCAAGTAAATTTAACTTAAAGATTTCTAATTAAAGCTACTGATAAATATGTTTAGGTTTTTACTTGGCAAATCTTTGTAAATTTACTAGCATTTTCTGAGTGAGATCGTTTAGCAAGGTTTTTTCAAGTACATCCTACTCCAAATTTTTTACAGTGTACATTACTGTATGTGTGAAAATAAATTATGAGAGACTGAGATTTGCCCCAAATAAAACATTTTTATAATTGACTTTTAGAACTTTGACTTGCATCTTTGCACTGACAACATATCTTTTAACCCTTTAACTGACTTTTCAATCATACGGTTGAGCCCATTTTAAGTCACTATATTTTATTGAGACTTAACTCAAACTGATTGAAGTATATTATGCCCAAAAAAATCCACTAGATTTCACAGTGTCAATCAACAGCACTGGTCACAGCATGTGAACTGTTTCTGGTGAAATTTTGCAAGCTATGCATAATTTTTTTTTTACAAATTACACTGTAAGATCCTTTAATTTACAAAATGATGTTACTATGCTATGACAAAATGTAAGTATATTTTTAATAATTTTTCATTACATACATAACGGTTAATTGTCACCCCTCTTTTTGAGAATGGACATTGCAATGCACTATTAAAACTTGGTTGTAATTCAAGTATGCTTTGGAATAAAGGCCTATTAGTCTTGATTTAAAGAAAACACTCGAAAAGTATATGAAAAAATTATGGAAGTTTTAAAGACATTAAATCAAATATACTGCACTAAATATTTTTTTTCTTTGATATAAAATCTATATTTTACAAAATATTTTTTTCTTATAAAATTAAGTATAAAATCAAAGCCATATATCTAACCAAGTTGTGTTCCAAATTTGAAGTTGATTTCACAAAAATTGAAGTTCTCATGAGATTTTGTTTAGGTGTAATACCAAAAATGACATCAATTCCATTGAATTTAATTATATGCATTCTGCTGTAACAAATTAATAAATTTCTGTCAAAAATCACTTCTGTCACAAAATATGGAACCTGGAGACTCAGACCTTTCGGACAATGTGTTTTGTCAAGACTAGAAAAGGTTTTGATCGTGAATTATGATGGGCAATGAAAAAGTATGGCAAAGTATGTGTATGAATTCCGGTACCATTTTCTTAACCATTTGTAAAGGCCGATATTTTAAAAATTATGGGATGTGTTGAAAAAAAAAATACATTGAGTGTGGTTACTAGCGACGTAAGAAGATAAGAAATGCAAACAAAATATTTTTCCATCACTTTTTTTTTGGTGCGGACTTCAAAGGGTTAATTTGTTCATCCATTAGCAATTCATTAAATGGAATAAATAATAAAATGAGATGAAGTACCAATAACAGATACGTATTTAACTCTCAGGACTTTCCACAAATATGCATCTCTGTTTGATATATTGAATATATTTAAATGTGCAGCAAAATTCACTACATTCTGATATTGTATATGCACCAGTCCCGTGATGCACCTTTTGTCTGAGTGTGTGACGTGTGAATGTGTGTGTGCAGATGTGCTCTCCTGCGCAGCTCCGTCAGCAGACCGCAGACCTGTACGCCACTATTGATGAAGTCCTCGAGGACTCAATCCAGAAAGTGAGCCCACACAAAACACACTAAACAATATTCCTTTTATCCGCCGATTCTCATGTTTTAATCTATTTTTTCCCAGCATCAGTCAGATGTGAACAGAGCCACTCTGCAGTCTCTGGCAGTGGAGACATCAAGGGTGTGTAATTAAAGATGGACACTTATCTCATCTTCATTTTGATTATTCGCGACAGAATCACGCTTGTCGAGGAATAAAATATTTCTTGTTTGTGTGTATAATCAGTCTTCAACGTTGACTTTAAATGTGAGTTGTAATAAAAAGTAGAAAAATATCAAATCAAATAAAAAGAAAACAGATTGCCATTTGTAAGAGCAACAACCTCCTGATTATTATTAAAGGAGTAGTTCACTTCTGAAAAAAACTTTTGCTGATAATTTACTCGCCCCCATGTCATCCAAGATGTCCGTGTCTTTCTTTCTTCAGTCGAAAAGAAATGAAGGTTTTTGATGAAAACATTCCAGGATTTTCTCCATATAATGGACTTCAATGGGAACCAAACGGTTCAAGGTCCAAAAGACAGTTTCAGTGCAAACTGTTCAAAGTCCTTTAAACGAATCATTTCGATTTGAATCACAACGAATCAATTCGTTTCTTTCATTCGTTGAATCAACCAAATGACTCAAAAAAAGATTTGTTCATTTTGATGAACGAGTTCGAACAGGAGAGTCACGAACGCGCATCACAGAACAGAGCAAGGCGAGCATTTGAGCTTATAAAACTTAAACTTTGTTATTTATTTATTAAATGAGCGATCGTTTCGCTTGATAAGACCCTTATTCATCGTCTGGTGTCGTTTAAAGCCCTTTGAACAGTTTGCACTGAAACTGTCTTTTGGACCTTGAACCGTTTGGTTCCCATTGAAGTCCATTATATGGAGAAAATCCTGGAATGTTTTCATCAAAAACCTTAATTTCTTTTCAACTGAAGAAAGAAAGACATGGACATCTTGGATGACATGGGGGTGAGTAAATTATCAGCAAAAGTTTTTTTTTGCAAAAGTACCTTTAATACGTCTGTCAGCAATATTTGATGAAGAATTCAATCTCTAACACTGTCAGCCGCTGCTGACATTGGATTGGATTATATTCACTGTACTTGCATTGAAAATGTGTGCGTAAATCATTCTTTTTTTCTTTTATTCTGAATTTCTGATCACAGACATCATCACCATCCCCAAAACTATTGGGACGGGAAACAAGATATGTGAGTATTTCCACTGATCTCTGTACATATTTTACACTCAGGCTTCTGAGAAGGCAAATCTGACAAATCATTCATTATAAAAGTGATAGTTAAATAGATCGCATATTAAAATTCAATCGCAGAGCTCTAGAAACATTGCTACTGTAAGACTTTGATGACACATTTTTGGCTTAAAAAAAAAAAAATCAATTCAACAATCCAAACTATTTGTGTATGCTAATGAATCTGAGCACTGAACCCAGATTTCACTCCTAGATTTTTATCCTACAGAAGTATAGAAAACGTATTGAATGCATCTTTGATGCGGACAAGAAAAGATATGGGTAGCATTTTCATCTTCCAAATGTTGATAAGCCTATTCATTGTGCAGTCTTAACTATTAACAATTACATAGTCACATTTTAGCTGGATTTCCCTGCTGTTCCCCGTCTGAACAGAACCACCGAGAGCCATTTTGGGTTCTCAGCCCACCAGTAGAAGAGCTGGTAATCAGAGTAAATGTGTGTTATTCAGTCAGACCCAATCACACAACCACACGCTGCGACTTTATGCCTATGAATATAAAGTGTGGACACGTTACAACAGTTGACCCATAAACTGGACCTTTTTCTATTGCTAAAGGGATTATTATTTACTTTCTTTTTATGACAAGAATAGTGTTTTATGTGAGAATGCACCTTTACTGAAGTATTTACTTTATAATAATGTTATTTTAGACCCTGTTTTCATTCTGAGAGCTGAGTTTCATCTCGCTTCTTATTATATGCAAATTACAGGATTTGGACACTCAGTTTGCTATTGTTGTTTCACAGATTTTGCCTTTAGAAAGATTTACAGTTTTTCTCCATTGGTTTGGCTCATTTCTTGAAACAGAAATTACATTCTCAAAACAACATGGACAAACCTCCAAACTACTTGGGAATTGTTCACAACAGAATTGAATTTCTCATTCAGTTCATCAAATTGCAAATGCCTAAGTATATTGTCTCAATGTCTCAGTACATCTTTGCAAATGATTAAGTACAGGTAGCCTACGTTTAGCACAATTTCCAAGTCAATAGATCTTGTTGATCTAAACTGATTGTTGATTCTCAGTCTAATAATTGTTCACTCCAAAACGTATAAGTCATCACATGCACAATAGTCTGTTCAATTGTCAAAATTAGTCAAAAACATAATATCGAATACCATAGGCTATATGAATCCCTTGGAACATTTGATACATACACAAGGAGGAGTTTCACACATCTCAGATGACCAATCAAACCGTATGTTTGGTCAAAGAGCTGCAAATAGTGCCTCCCATGTAAATCTAATCTATGTACAGTTTTTCTCAGTCGCTTTGGTGCATTTCTCACATCACTATTTACATTTGCACAACAGTTAGTTCAACCTCCACAACATTTAGTCATTTGTGCACATCATAGTAGCAGTTTCTCATTCCTTCCAACAAATTGCAAATGCTTTTGGACATGCAACAATTGATTTCATACAAGTCACTGCTGTTTTATAACATTATCATTTGCTTATGTCATATCAGTCCAAATTAACTATACTTGTGAATCCTGAATAGTCATTCCAAATAAAACTAATAGTCCTCATTTCATTGCTTGAGTCATCACATACAAAAATGTTGAACTAGTTGTCAAAATCCGTCAAGCAAATTTTACTTTTTTTTTTTTAATCTTAAAAAATTCAGTGTCTTGTACTCAATTACTGTACCTCACTAAATACAGTAATGTGAAACTTTACTGTATTTCTCAAATGGCTGTGCGAATAGTTTATAGGACTGTCTTGAGCATTTTCAGGTAGTGTCACCAAGATCTGACTTTTTTGCATTGTCAAACACTTACAGAGTAAACTGTCATAATGAAAACATGCTCTTGTTCATAAACACTGGTGTCAGGACTTTTCATCTTGACCACACTGACACTTTCAATGACATGAATACTTGCTTTGAGGAGTGAGTTATCCATTTTGAGCAAGTGACACACTTTTGCAGGTTATCAACGAAGTTTTACAGTTTGTACTAATTGTTTTGAGAACTGCATTAACTGTTGTGCAAATGTAAATAGTGATGTGAGAAATGCACCAAAGCGATGGAGAAAAACTGTAATATATTTTCTTAAATACGTTTGAATAATAAAAATAAACTAAAAATGTATTTTGATCAAACTTGCCTGGGCGGGCCAGTGAGTAACGTGGGCAGAACATTCCTGTGTAATTGGAGGTGTGTCCATGTTGTTTTGAGAATGTATTTTCTTTTACCTCTGATGTATGGCAGTTACATTAGGTGTGTGAATAATAATGGTTACAATTGACCCTTCGCTAAGCCCCGCCCTCCCTAGTTACTGTTGCTACGCCTGTCAAGCTTTCGCCGCTGGCCCATCTATTATGCACCCGGTGTCAGACATTCAATGAGATAATTAGTAATTTTCGGCGAACAAGTGAAATATCTGAGAGAGCAAGACAAAAGGGACTACAGTATGCATTCGAGGGATATATTCACGACATTATATGCAACCGATTAAAGAATAATTTCTTAAAAATTGAAGTTAAAGCCTCACGTTATAGTCCCAGCGCGAGCAGCAGCGCCTCATACGCTGACCGTTCAAATGGGAAACACAAATTGAGGAACAGCTATGTTCAAACACAGCAGGGTATGTGAAAATAATCTTAATAATTATAAATCAAACAGCTTATCAATAAATCTCGTGGAATAACACTAATACCGGGAGAGCCGCGATCGGATTGGGTTAAGTTAAGGGGTAAAGTAGGACTTCGATTAACAAAATGCTGAAATATATTTTAAAGTATGTCAGTGAGCCTTTGTCTTGTCTCTTTAATCGTCTTATTTTACGTTATATCATTATGACCAAAGAACCGTCAATATTTCCAAGCAAAGGTGTTTTTGTTAAGCATGTCGACATTTACCAGTAGTTGTGAATGGGTCTCGCACATAAACGCTAGATCACGCCAATCATTTGCTTTTAGATTTTCTGGAAGGAAAACAATTCTCTCCCCCGTCCAAACTTTTAGTATACCGGTATCAGATTTGCACAATCCATACGCACAATGCTTCAGCATGTTTCCTTCGTTCGAAAGCTTGCCAGACCTCCCGCGCATAGTTACGGTTGCTAAGACATGATTGGCCAGTGACGGTTTTTGGCCGTGGCTTAGTGAAGGGTCAATTCCTTGGCGGTATGAGTGCAATGTGTGATGTACTCTTACCCTAAAATCCAAAAAAACCTAAATTTTCAGTTTTATACACAATTGTTTTCTGTTAGCTAGACAAAAAAAAAAAAAAACAGTACAGTAGCCATTGTCAATGAAGGACTGGGCTAAGACTGAAAGGGACATGAGGGATATTTCAATGGTCCTCTGCCATAGTGACAAAACATCTAGACATTTTGGCTTGCAGTGCTTACACAATGCCAAAGGGACTAGGGATTTTGAGGGCACTGACTGGTTCAATGAGAAGGAAATTTAGTTTTGACACATGAGTGAACTGTTTTGGGAGAGGTATGAGCTTTTGCAGGTGAACCATGGTGTTGTGCCGAACCATCCACGTCCGGTCTGTTTTCGAGAAATGAGCCAAAGCAATTGAGAAGGATCGTTGCCATTTTGGTGGCACTGACTCTTGATATGGGAAATGAATTTAGTTTCGAAGCATGAGGGAGAGGTATGAGCTTTTGCAAGTGAGCTATAGTGTTGTGCTGAACTGTAAGACTGTTTTGCCAAATGATCTTTGATGATTTTGAGAATGTCATTTCTGTTTCAAGAAATGAGCCAAACCAATGGAGAAAAACTGTACTTTAAAAAAGATTACAACCATGGAGCTGAAAAATGAAATGCAGCATTTTTTGGAATCACTTGTTTCAAAACTATTTCATTCATGCCCTGAGCGTTCTTCAGCTTAATCTGGATTATGTTGCCAAATGTAAAGCTAAATACAGATTTCATTACTGAGTCTTTTATAGATGTCATGGGTAACGGCGTCTTCTCTTCTAGGCCTGCTCTCCTTTCCAACCCTTTGTAACGACTGAAAAAACACTGGTACGTAACATTTCTATTTGCATTTAAAATGTTTATCTCAGTTTCTGCTACTTTACGTCGTTCAGTAGATATGGAGAATAAAATAATGTTTCTATTACGGTTATACATATGCGCCAGAGAAACAAGAGCGCACTCATCTTTATAATCGTGTATTTGCATCGCTGTGTGTGTTTCTGTGGCATCGCTGTCGAAGAGTAATTATCTGGAGAAGTGGATTTACTTATTGTAGAGTTAAGGAAAGTTATCATGTGCATTGTAAATTTGAAATATCATAAAGATATGCCATATTGTTGAGTTTAATTCATATATGTAATTGGGAATATATAATTGCTGTTGTGATGCACTAGATGACACATACTGCAGGTGTTGGCTGTAGAAATCTTTGTTTTTTTAATTATTGATTTATAATCATTTTTTTCTTGTTTATCTGTCCTGAAGACAAAGCCTGGAGTTATTAGACCAGTGACTGCAGCATCCAGAGTTACAGATGATAAACATGATGAGGAATTCCACCCAAATCCATTCAAGAACCGTCAAGAGAACAAATCCAGTCGATACCAGTACAAGGTGTGTTTCTCTGAACATTCACGCGCGGTGAACACACACTCAACGTCAAGCTAACAGCATGTCTTCACATGCAGAATGAATGCAGGACGATAAACTTTCATCTTGCTTATGTTGTGAAATTCATAACTTGAGCAGATGCACACAAATTGTGTGTGTGTGTGTATATATATATCATGTGCAATTCATAGGCGTGCTACATGAGGGGATAAATAATGGGATTTTGGCACTTCGAATGCTGCCACGAAAACTGTGTTGAACACAATATTCCCCATTCAGATTCCTTCCTTCTGTGTGGTCAACCATCCTTCCATCCATCCCTCACTTTATCCATCCATCCATCCATCAATTCCTCACTCCATCATCCATCCATCCATCCATCCCTCACTTTATCCATCCACCCATCCTTCCATTCATCCATCAATCCCTCACTCCATCTATCCATCCATCCATCCATCACTCACTCCATCCATCCATCCATCAATTCCTCACTCATCCATCCATCCATCCATCCATCCTTCCGTTCATCCATCCATCCCTCACTCACTCCATCCATCCATCCATCCATCCGTTCATCCATCCATCCCTCACTCACTCCACCCATCCATCCATCCATCCATCCTTCCATTCATCCATCAATCCATCCACCCATCCTTCCATTCATCCATCAATCCCTCACCTCCATCTATCCATCCATCCTTTCCTCACTCCATCCATCCATCCATCCATCCATCAATTCCTCACTCCATTCATCCATCCATCCGTCCATCCATCCTTCCGTTCATCCATCCCTCACTCACTCCATCCATCCATCAATTCCTCACTCCATCCATCCATCCATCCATCCATCCACCCATCCTTCCATTCATCCATCAATCCCTCACCTCCATCTATCCATCCATCCATCCATCCATCCCTCACTCCATCCATCCATCAATTCCTCACTCCATCCATCCATCCATCCTTCCGTTCATCCATCCATCCCTCACTCACTCCATCCATCCATCCCTTACTCCATCCATCCATCCATCCATCCTTCCGTTCATCCATCCATCCCTCACTCACTCCATCCATCCATCCCTTACTCCATCCATCCACCCACCCACCCTATCCATACCTCACTTCATTCATCAATCCCCATCCATCCATCCATCCATCCCTCACTCCATCTATCCATCCATCCTCACTCCATCCATCCACCCCATCCATTCATTCATTCATGCCTCATTCCATCATCCATCCACCCCCCATCCATCCATCATCCCTCACTTCATACATCCACCCTCACTCACTCCATTCATCCATCCATCCCTTCCTTCACCCCCTCCAACTATCCATCCATCCTTTATTCTATTCATATATCATCCATCCTTCCACTGTTCTATCCATCTATCCATCCCTCCATTCCTCCATCCCTCCATTCCTCTGTTCCTCCATCCATTCCTCCATCTCCCATTCATCCCCCCATCCATCCATCCCTTCCTTCGTCCCTCCCTCCCTCCTTCGCTCCATCCATCCCTCTATTTATTACTCTATTCCTCCCTCCCTCCATCCATCCATCCATGCATCCATCCATTTCTCACTCCATCCATCCATTTATCCATTCATCCATCCCCAGCCCTTCTGTTGGGTCTGTGTTTGGGTCTTTTATGTCAGAGAACAAGCAAATCAAAGGGTCAACATTCCATATGTACTTCAGTAGGAATTGAAAATGTGCCACTAGAAATGATTCATCAGAATAGTGTAGCTGCAACATATCCTGCTGGGTTTGACTTTCCTCCAGCGGGATCAGAAGTTCACGCATCACAAGAACCCAGTGTCATGAGCGATTCCCTACATCAGGACATGTATCTCAAACCCACAAGAAAACATCACACTGAGACCCAACACACCATCCATGTATCAAACTACACTCTAAAAAAAATGCTGGGTTGTTATAACCCAACTTTGGGTCAAATATGGACTAACCCAGCCGTTGGGTTAAATTTTTACATTACATTTTTAACCCAACATTTCGGGGTTTGGCCATATTTGACCCAAAATTGGGTTAAAACAACCCAGCATTTTTTAGAGTGTAATCACACATGATATACTTTTATTTTTATATAATAGTTTTCAAACTAATTATGTAAGTAATATTACATTAAATACTGATCACTGGTATCGAAAATAAACGTGTTGTGTCAAGCACAATGTTTAGTCTCAACGCCAGTCTCTATCAAGGCTACTGAATATAAACTCTCTCACAAGGCTACGGGAGAGGAGCTGTGAATGTTTACGCAACCGACATTGAAATAACAATAAATTGATGGCAGATGTTTTACGCCCGGGGCGCATTCTTGCTATATACAATTATATGTCCTCAGCTGCTACTCAGAGAGTACTCGGTTACGGACACAGCCCCAGTCTTGACATTTGACACAAAAATGAAGACACTTTCTCGATCAAGTAAGGTCAAGTCTGATTGGCTGCTTTACACATGCAGATTCTGAGAGTAACACCACACATGTGTGTATAATTTTCCAAATGTCTGGAAACTGAGGCTCAAGTAACATGAAACACTCGCGTCTCTGTCAAGTCGAAGTTAGTCGCAGACGAGGAGCTCTCGGCATCTCTAAAGATGTTGATCTTCATTCTAGTCCTCTGTTTGTCTCAAAGTCTGCTTGCCATGATCCATAATGTTTGAAAAAAACCCTGCTAGGGACGCTCACGCTGTTGAGCACGCATAACGGGCTATAACCGACCCAGTTGTCAACGTCTGTCGCCATGGTTACTATTGCAGTACGAGATCAAACCTGGCGGAAACCGGGGGTAACGCGGATATGACGTCATTGACTGGCGGCTCCTCACCCCTGCTCACACGCCCCGTTTCCGCAATTTTATCATGATTTACATATAGTTGGAATCATTTGGGATATTGTAAGGAATCAACTAAACAAAATATATAACATTATAGTGGTTTTTGGATATTTTACTAAAAAAATCCTACAAATTGTACCTTTAAGGAGAGGATTACCGGGGCCATGTATTGCGAGATTTTGGGGAACAACCAGTGGTGTAGTCTAGTTTTTTTGTAGTGAGTATACTGTGATATACCAGCCCCCCCCCCTCCACCACCTATTTTCGAAAAAAAATTTTTAAAAACTTAAATAAAAAAAAAAGCTAACACTTTAGTTTAGGATCTAATGCTCACTATTAACCAGTTTCATTACATGCGAAAGCAGGGTTTTATAATCACTGTTGTCCCAAATGTCAGTTAGGTCAGTTAGGGGGGGGTTCGGGGTTTCCCTGAGAAAAAAAAGGATTTGTCTGATCTACATATGTGCATTTTAGGATGTTTTGAAGGCCAAAAAAATAGAAAACAGCTTAAAAACCATGTCAGTGGGCAGCTGATTATTTCTCTGTCCTCATCGGCATCAGCCCCTTTTTCTCTTTGTTTTTATCTCTCCCTGCCTCCTAAAGATGAGCTTTGACTGATATAGGCTTTATCATTTTTGTCTGTCAGTGAAGAAAGTAAACATAGGGTCAACTGATAGGTTGATTTTGCCTATGAATAATTTTTCTCATACACGTTTCTTCACTGAAAGCTACTAAAGCTTGGTTATTAAGTTTATTAAATGCATTCAAAACATTCATTATTGATCTATGACTAAAACAGGGCGATAGACAGGGCTTTATAACCAAAGAGGTCCTAAATTTGAGGTTGGTGCTTCAAATTTTTTTATTTCTCTGATGTGCATTTCAAGACGTTTGCAAAAAGGATAAGAAATAGCTTTAAAACCATGTCAGTGGGCAGTAAAATTCTCTTCCCCTCCGAAAGCTGAGCTTTTTTAATGTACTAAAGGCTACAATTTGTATTATATTCTCAATATGTACACATTCATTATTACTCTTGTGGCTAAAATGATGAAAACGGCTTTGTTAGGGGGCTGATATCGTAGGAAATTTATTTGTTGTTACAAATCCTCACGCTTTTTAAAGTGGGCATACGGAGATCTTTGACATTTCCTAGTGGGTATACGGCGTATACCTGCGTATCACGTATAGACTACACTACCTTGCCTCAGTTACAGCATTGAAGATGGGTGGAGGCTGGGTCTGACCCGAAGCACACTGCCAGGATAACCAAGACTGGCACCGTAAGAAGCATATCAAGGTTATAGGCGTGGCCTAGCCAGTCTCCAGACCTTATCCCAATAGAGAAACTTTGGAGGAATCTCTCAAACTCTGTTTCTCACCAACAGCCCAGAAACCTGAACGATTTAGAGAAGATCTGTGTGCCAAAATACAAACTACAGGAAACGTTTGACCTCTGTAATTGCGAACAAAGTCTACTGTAGCAAATATCAGCATTGATTTTCTCAGGTGTTCAAATACTTATGTGCAGCTGTAATGCAATACGTTTTAGAGAGAATAATTAGTATATTAATCTAATGACATTGTTGAAGATGTAATTAGTAGCTAATTGCAATATTGAGGAGGCTCTCTCACGTCGTGGGGAATATATTCCAAAATCGTAGTGCTAATAAACATTGCAGCATTAAGCCAAAGGCGAAAGCTCCGTTTAAGCGATGTGTGTGTGTGCTTTGACGTTTGCTCTCATCTTTGATATGATACATTGCGGCATATATTCATTTGCTGAGACGGCGGCGATGACGAAACAAAAATCACAGAAGATTTGAGCTCCTGAGTAACGTCAAACGCAAGCTTTTAGAAGCTCGGATGCCAGTGTCCTGACACCGTAAACACAGTGTTTATCTCTTAACAGGCTTTTATACGATCGCAGGTGGTTAAAGTCATCAGGATTTGTTGTCAAATTATTGTCTTTGAAGAGGATTACAGATAAACAAAAGATACATTTATTGTGACGTGTGAACGTCTCCAGACTCTCCTTTAGCATGACATTTCAAAAGCACTTCAGGTGTGTTTGACATTCACGGCTCGTTTCGTTTCCACTGGAATGGCCACATTATGTTGTCATATTTATTCAATTATGATTCTTT